TTGAGAGGATGCCCATCAATTGGGGAATGGCTGAACAAGTTGTGGTATATGAATGTAATGGAATACTCTTGTGCTGTAAGAAATGATGAGCAGGCTGATTTCAGAAAAAAGACTTGTACAGTCTGATGCTGAGTGAAGTGAGCAGAACCAAGAGAACATTGTACACAATAATAGCCACGTTGTACAATGACTAATATATTGATAAACTTGACCCTTCCCAGCACTACAGGGATCTAAGACATCTCCAAAGGCCTCGTGATAGAAAATGCTATCTATATCCAAAGATAGAATTATGGAATTTGAATGCAGATTGAAGCATACTATTTGTTATTTTTTTTCTCTTCTGTTTAGTTTTGTTTCCTCTTTCTGGTGTTTCTTCCCATTGGTTCCAATTCTTACTTACAACATCACTAATGTGAAAATATGTTTAATAGGAATGTATATGTAAGGCCTATATCAGATTGTGTGCCTTCTTGGGGAGGGTGGTAGGGTGGAAGGGGAAGAAAAATTTTGAACTCAGGAGCATATGGAAGTGATTGTTGATAAATCAAAATAAATTAATAAAAAAAAGTTAAAAAAGAAAGTACCTTCACAAACATTAACCTGTTTGATCTTCACAAGGAGAGTGGGGAATTAGTTCCTCATAAAGAAGTGAAGAAACAGGCACAGAAAAGTTAAGTCACTTTTCACAAGCTTATACAGAGAGTGATAAAAACCAGTATTAAAGACCAGGTGTCTGGGCTCCTGCTTGTGCTGTGCAGAGATAACTGTTAAATATGTCAGCTGCACAAATGCCCCAAGAAGTGGTTACTGGATGATGGTCCCACAGAGCTAATTTGCTGCTCTATGTAAAGAAGGGAACCAGATCAGCAGATGGAGATTTCTGCTAAAGGTAAATAAATATGGCATCTTAAATACTGACAAGCCATAAAGTAACTCCAAAATGCTACACACTCTCACATGAAAAGATAAGGTGAAGAGGGGTGGGGAACGGGCCTTTCCAGTTAGCCAAAGGATAGAGAAGAGCAGGATAAAAACAGAATCCAGAATGAGAACTGTTGTGATGAAGACAGAAGTTAAAAGGTACCAAGAGAGCCCAAGAGCCGGAGAAAGGAGTACAACCAAAACAACATTCTTGTGGCAAAGCCTGGGGGAGCGCTGACCATACTATTGGGCCAATGGCTGTTCAGAGAAGAGTTGTGACCAAAAACCACAGGGAGTTAACCTGGCCCAAATGGGATAGGATGCTGTTCCTCCACATATCAGAACAGGGCTAGGCTAAATGATGTTTCTCAGCCTTGGAAGAGAGGGCAGTAAAGAAGAGTTGAGGAACACATGCTCCTAATCTCAAGAGGAACAACAGGAAAAGCACAGATGGGACTACACAGGACATTTAACCTGTGCCAAGCTGTGAGCAAGGTCAGACTGTAATCTACCTCAATCACATACTCACACCTTGAAATTCCATCATACCTAAGTTCAACAGTTCAATAACTACTTGTGAATAAGCCAGGAAGAGTACTGCCAGAGAAGAGAGAGGAAGGAAAGTCTGCTCAGGCTTATCACAGAGCTTCAGAGGCAGAAGGGAACTTGGAGATCACAGAGTTCGATCTTTCCGTGAAAAGGAATCCCATTTACAGTCCTTGAAAAGAGGTCATCCAGGTTCTGACAGTATGGGGGGATTTACCATGTTATAAAACAGCTCATTACACTTTTGGGCGGTTCAACTTGTTAGGGAATTTTCTCTCATACAGATGTGAAATCTGTCTCTACAGTTTGCACCCATTTTTCCTAGTTTAGTCTTCTAGGGCCAAGAAAAATTGTTTTAATTTCTCTTCCATGTGAGAGCCCCTCAAATACTCGAAAACAGGTGTCCTATCCCCTCTGAGTCTTTTCTTCTCCAGGCTAAACATTCTCAGTTGCTTAGCAAATCCCCATATAGCATTGTCTCCAATTTTTCCCACCCTGAACACTCTCCTCTAAGTGCAATCAAGTTAATCCAGTCCTTAGAATGTAATGTTCAGAAGTAAATACAGTGCCCAGATGTCGAATGACCAGGGCATTTTGTTACCTTTATCATTTTTAATACCATTTATCCATTAATGCAACCTAAGCTCACAATAGCATTTTTGACTACCATATGACTCCTCTTGGGTTTGCAAGTCTACTAAAATTTCCAAACCTTTTTCACACAAACTACTGTCAAACCATGTCTCTTCCATATGTACCCTTGCACAGATGACTTTTTGAACCCAAGCATAGGGGGAGCTATCTAAAGACACAAATACAGAGGAACAGAGAATTCATCAACCTGTTTAGATTTTTAAAAGATATGTACAGAAGGTGGAAGCATGGTCAGGTAATAGAAGATGAATACAAAAGTCCTGTAAGAAAAGAGTATGAAGCATGATAGCTCAGAATGAGCTGAAGCTGGATATGAATGATAAGGACAAAAGGACTTGAAAGAAAGGAGAGAACTGTTGCTCTGGGTGGACAAGTCAATAATAATGGAAGACAGAAAACAGAATTTTTTATAGGGTAACTGTATCAAACTGGATTTTATTTGTAAAGCACTTTGTAAACCTCAAAGTACTAGACATATGTCATTATTATTACTCAACTCATTTTATTTCTGCTTTCTCTGTCAAGGAGAATAATCTTTGGATTAGGATAGAACAAAACTGGCTAATAGGGTTGAAGGGGAAGTGATATCACTAAGAGTGAGTAGGTCTTCATCAAGAACAAGTCTTCTCACATGTAGCTCATTTCTCTTTTTTTAATAGGATTACTGACTGTAATCAAGGGAATCCTGTAACTGTAATTTACTTAGGTTTCAGGGCAGCATTTGAAAAAGTCCGTAATGTCATCCTTGTGGACAAGATGGAGAGATATGGATTTGATGGTAGTAAGTTTGGCAGATTCAGAACTGGTTGAATTACAGGACCCCAAAAGTAGTCACTAATGGCTTAATGTTAACTTGGAGGGAAGACTCTAATGGAAAACCCTAGAGATCTGTCCTTGCCTTTGTGCTGGTCAACATTTTTATCAGTGACTTGGATAAATATAGACAGCATGCTTATCAGATTTTCAGATGACACAAAACTGGGAAATAAGGATTCAAAAATATCTTGCTGGAGCTCTTTTTGTGGTGGCAAAAAACTGGAAACTAAAGGGGTGCTCATCAGTTGGGGAATGGCTGAGTAAATAATGGCATATGAATGTAATGGAATGCTATTGGACTTTAAGAACTAATAAAAGGGATGGTTTCCATAGAAAACCTGGGAAGACTTGTATGAAGTGATGCAGAAGAAAGAGAGTAGATCTAGAAGAACAATTTATACTGTAACACCAAAGTTGTGAAAATGAATAATTCGGAAATACTTAAGAACTGTGATCAATGGCATGTTCAACCATAACTCTAGAGGACCAATGATGAAGAATGACGGGGAGATAATGGGCTAAATGTGAAGAATGAGACACCTATTTTTTTGGATGTGGCCAATGTGGAAATGTTTTATTTGACTATGCATACTTATTGCAAGTTATTTTTCTTTTTTGGAGGGTAGAGTGGGGTGGAGTGGGAGGAAAAAAATAAATGCTTGAATAATGAAAAAATCAATTAAAAAGTCTTTCTAAGCTAGAACAAGGGTTCATATCTGATATAAAATATGACAGGGACAGATTTGTTGGAACATGTTCTTGCACTTGACTTAAAAAAATCAACCTCACAAGTACAAGATAGAATAGTTATGTCTAGACAACACTAAACTTCATAGTTTGGCACTTAAAGCCCTTTCCAATCTGGCTCTAGTCTCCCCTTTCCAGGTTCATTTCACATTGCTGCCCTTTTATGCACTCTATGTTCTAGCCAAACTGTCCAACTTCTTGTTCCCCACACTTAGTATTCCATCTTCCTTTTCCATGCCTTTGCACATGCCTATCCTTGCAATGCACTCCCTTCTCCTCCCCCAACTTCTTAGAATTTCAAGCCTTGCCCAAGGTACAGTATTATCTCAACTGGAAGCATTTCCTGATCTCCCTAGTTATTAGTGGCATCTATCCTCTTCCTCCACAAAATACTGTGTATAGCCTCACTCCCAAAAGAAAGGGAGCTCCATGAGGGCAAGGTCTGGATTTTGTTTTGTTTTTGTCTTCCACGAGAAATGCCTTCCCAATAGTTGCTATTTATTAAATGCTTGACACACTGAAGATTTTGTAAACTCAAAATATTGGGAATATTTAACATGAAGACCAGACAACTTAGTGGCGAAGGGGATCTGATAGCTTGTCTTCAAGTATTTGAAGACTTATTATGTGGAATATGGATTAGATTTGTCAGAAACAAGTTGATTTATCACTCCAGAAGGCAGAATTAGGAATAATGGATGAAAATTATGTAGAGGCAGATTTTGGCATAATGAGAAGCAACGTGGAGTAGTGAACACAGAGCTGGATATGCAGTCAGGGAGGCCGCCACTTCGAATTTCACCTCTGAAACTAGTTGCCTGATCAGGGCCAAGTAACTTAATATCCTTGAGCCTCAGTTTCTTTATCTGTAGTATCCACCATGGGTTGGTTTTTATGTTTTTGAAGATCAAAGTGGATAACCTATGCCAAATATCTTCCCGAGTTGGACACTACTGAACAACAAAAAGCTCTATAAAAATGGTGGTTGTTGTTACTATGTATGAGAAAATTTCCTAACCAAAAGATTTATTTAAAGAAAGACTGGCCTGACTGGGAGACTGTGGATCCTCCCTCCCTCGGTGCCTTCAAGCAAAGACTGGATAACCATTTGTGGGGGAATCTATGAGGGATTCTGACCCGACGGGATGAGGCAGACGATGGGGATCCTCCCGTGGGAAGCCATTCGCGTTTCTCCGGCAGGCGTGGCTCACCATCTCCCACCAAGGGCCAGCCACGCCGGCATCACTCTCTGCTCCTCAGGTGGAGGCTGAAAGCCCCGCCCCCACCTTCAGGCCCCGCCCCCCGGGACTCACCTGGCTGCGGCCTGGTGCAGCTTATTCTTCCGCGAGGACGTCGTGCTGGTCGGCTGCTGCCTCATCACGTGGGCCACGCCCACGTTTAAGGGCTGGGCCGCTGGCAGGGTCACGTGGCCAGTCAAGAGCGCCGGCTGCTGCATGATGGGGTTGTAGTGGCTGCCGTGAGCATGCGTGTTCCTGTGGGAGCGGAGAGAAAGCAGCTACATTTTATTCTTTCTTTGAATCAAAGCTCCTTATAAAATAAAGCATTACCTCACTGTTAATGGTACAACACTAGGCACTGGTTACCGCCACGTCTTCTACGCAGTTTTCTAATAAATTAGCTTGGTGGGCAGTAGCTGGAGATGACGTCATCCTCACCTGAAGCCCAGAGCCCAGGCCCCTTGGAGAGCCGCTCCGCGGGAGGAGAGGGAGGGGCGGGGGGGGGGTTCAACTTTGCCCCGCCCCCGAGGCCTCACCAAGTCTTTGATGTGGATAACGCATCCGCCCAGCTCTCGAAGAGCTTACACCACGGGCGAGGTAGGTTAAACACCACACCAACCACAAACGAAACCTAAGGCATAAACAGATGGAGCTGTTTCCTAAACCTGTCCGTTTGCCGACTCCGACTTGGTCCCCATTCAGGTGCAGGCCCTCACCACCTCGTGGCTTGCTGGTGGGGCTTCCAGTGTCACGTCTCTCCTCGCTTCAGTCCATTCACTATCTGCCACAAAAGTGATTTTCCTAAAGTGCAGGTGGGACCGTGTCGTTCCACTACACAGTAAACCCCAGTGGCTTTTTATCGCTTCCAGGATTAAATACAAAATTCGCTGCTTGATGTTAAAAGCCCTTTATAGCCTCCCCTCCCCTCCTACCTTTCTCACACCTTAGTCCCCCAAACGTCGAGTGACACTGGCCTCCTGACCGCTCCACAAAGAAGACAGTCCCTCTCTAGGTTCTGGTTGTTTTCTCTGGCTGTCCCTCATGCCTGGAGACTCTTCCTCCTCCACTTGGACTACTGACCTCCCTGGCTTCCTTTAAGTTCCAAACTAAAATCCCACCTTCTACGGGAAACCTTCCCCACCACTCTTAATTCCAGTGCTTTCCCTCTTTTCATTATTTTCTGTTTATCTTGTATAGAGCTTGCTTTGTATGTATTTGTTTGCATCTTGTTTCCCCCAAGAGGCCGTAAGCTCCTTGAGGGCAAGCACAGTCTTTTCCTCTTTTTGTATCCTCAGCACTTAGCACTGTGCCAGGCACACAGTGGATGCTTAATAAACATTTAATTGAATGAATGAATAACAAAGCTATCCGCTATTGCTAAGGAGCTGCTGCTTGGAGGGTGAGGGTGAACATAACCAGATGAAGTTAATTATGTAAATTTCAAAGAAGAAGTAGATTTTTAAAGTATTGTTTCAAAGGAGAAAAAGGACTTTGTTTTGTTAAAAGGGAACTCCAGATATGTATAGGCTGTGACATGGAATTAGGTGAGCTGGGGTGAGGGTTAAGGTTACTTCTAAGTTTGTTTTTCAATTCTGAGTAAATGACAATAGTATATGAGCAACAAACTATGGAAACTGGAAATAGTAAACTTCTGGAGGTACAAAGTCATTTATATTTCTTAACTGTCTAGCCTTATGACTAGTTGGTATAGTGATATGCCCAAAGGAGACACCCGATAAATTTGTTAAGTGGACCAAAAAAATAAAAACAGTCATAATCAAAGTTTGGTGAAATAACTTAAATTGAAATTAATCTGACATATATTAATGCTGTAAATATCACTAACTCCTAAACTACAAGCTAATTATGTTCCAACGTTTCATTTTTAAAAGCCATCTGTTTGGACAGAGGAATAATTTCCCCTATAAAAAACAGTGTTATAATTTTAGTGACCAGATTCCTAGTCTTGCCACATGAGACTTTTTTTTAACCTAAAATGTGTCTAAAAATGCCACACATTTGCAAGATGAAAATAGAACATCTGTTTTCAATACTAGTAATTAAATTATAAAAATAATTGAATTTGAAGTATTTTTTGTCTTAAATGATGGTGTTTGAAAATAAGGTTTAATTGGAGTAAGATGAGTAGGTAGATGTTTTAATGGAGAGACTGAGGGGGATATCGATACTTTCAAGGGCTTTGTAGGGTTGATGGCCTTAGTTCTTTATTTTGTTTTTCGCTTTAAAACTTACGGGTTTTCCTTCTCCTTGATATAGGTGTGTCACTATAATAATTATTAGCCATTATTTGGGCTGCTTTTCTAGAAACAAACACAAGATTTTTTTTTTAAACCTCACATTTATTACTAGTTGCAGCTTTCTTCAGTTAACCTTTCACGTGCTTATAAGAGAATAGATTTAGAGTTGGAAGTAAGATTAGAGAACATTTAATTCAAACTTCACATTGCAAATGAAGACGCTTAAGGGCCAGAGAACTGAAGTGATTTGCCCAGTGTCACAGGGGTGAGACGGCAAAGGCTGGCCCCAACCCACTCCTGTGACTCCAAATCTAGCGGGCTTCCTACAACTCGGGGGGAGCTGACTAAACTATGAATGATAACGATTGGAGAAAAAGGGGAGTGCACTGTGTGTATGAAAGACATTAAATAGTAAATATTTAATATAAATGACATGGCTTTCACATAGCCAAGACATTTTTAGTTTTTTTTTCTGCTTGATTTCTTCTCGGATATCTACAGTTACTCCCTGTGAACAGTAGTCTTTCATACCACATGGTTTAATCCTCATCACATACATATAGTGACACTATATTAACTAATCCAATCCAGGGTTACCACAATCATGAAGGCAGGGTAACTGAGCTATGGGAACAGTAAGGTAGCAGGTGCTGTTAGTAACCTCAGTGAGGGATTGACCTTTCTCCAAACTCTCTGGAGGTACCTAGAAGCAACATATAAAAGTTGGGAGAGGAGAAACTATGCAGTTGAATTTCTTTGTTCAGGCCTTAGACCATGCTGGGAAGGTAGAACAGTAAAGAGAACCAGGTGAGCAAGACTTGTTTTGCTTCACACTAGAATATGTCACCTGGTCTGTTTACCTTCTGTGTCTGTGTCCCTGGGGTGCACCCATTAGCAAAGGGGGGAAAAATAGAAAGTGGGGGGGGAAATAAGGGGGAGTGTTATGTTGGGGTTTAGAACCCAGTGCACAAGACTCTTCCTTTTAAATCATTGGCATGATTGCCTTCTACCCTGGACTCTACAAATACAGTCACCCCTATATTCACAGGTGCACAGGTATTTATGTTGTAACTTCTTTGGTTATGGAATACTTCTATAAAGACAATGGATGGAAAATCCACTTCTATGTAGATATAAGTAGAACTAAAAGAAGATCTTTTAAAAGACTACAAGAATAAATAGCAGCGTGGGGTAACATGGAGAAATTAACTATATTTACTCGCTTATCCAAGGTAGAGATAACTAAAAGTAGAAAAAAATGCGAAGTTAACAGATTTAGATAGTAATTGAGGAGTTTAGGGAACTATAGCTTAAGAAAATTAGAGGGAAAAGATAATTTTTGGAAAAAAAAATGAAGGCTGTGGCCTCTACTCAGCAGGAGACAGTGCAGTCTTTGATTTAAAGGGGCCCAGCTGAGAAGGCTCCTCACTAAGACTTTGAGTTGATTCTAGAAATGCCACACTGTCAGTTTTTCTGTTGGATTAAGCAATGGCCTACTGAAAAATCCTCTTAGAAAATGCAAATGTTTTCAGGAGGGATAACACATTAGGTTCTTTTACTAGGTGAGAGAAATTATTATTTTCTATTATATCAATAATCCATTATTAGGATCCAGGCTTTTTATTTTTTTATTATTACTTATTATTTGTTTATTATTATTTTTATTCAGAGATTGGCCCTTGTAGGTCAATCAGCCAGTCTCTGAAGGGCATGGCTGATAGATGAGATTGCCCAAATCCTTTATGAACATGCTCCTCTCTCTCTGTCTCCCTGTTTCTCTCTCTCTCTGTCTCAGTAGGAGATCTTACTTTTTTAGAGTGTAAACAGGAATTCCAGCCCCAAAACATTAAGCCCATATCCTTGTATCCCTCCATTGCATTAATCTACTAAATTAAGTGTACAGCCTGCCAAGGTGACTACTTTGAAGGATTGCACTAAACTGAATGTTACAGTAGGCTGACAAAAAAAATCGAAAATAAAAAAATCTGTCTCATCATGCAATATTTTGTGCCTCTGCCTAATAAGGCACTTTGCAAATAGCAAATTCATGCATAGAAGAGCTTAGCAGACATACACCCTCTTGATATCCTTAATCCTTAACATTAAGAATTGCCTCCTTACCTCCAGTCTGCCAACTGCTGGGTCCCTGCCATAGTCTCAGGAATTACAGTTGCATGCTGCACTGAGGTATGTGTGGCCACTCCAGTCAACTGCTGCCATGCTGGAGGAAGGAGAATTTGCTGGGTCCCACTTGGCCAGGCCTGCTATAGAACAAAAAGGATGTTCAATTATTACCTGTCTCCATCAGCTGACAACTACTGGTCTGAGTCCTAAAGGGGCTTATTATCTAGTTGGGGGTGATGAAACTAATATATACCATGAAGAACTATATCCTGAAATCCTCAGTATTGTGAGAATTTGAAAAAAGGGGACGGATCAGTATGGGCTATTTTGTGGAGGAGGAATAATTTGAACTAGGCTTTGACAAAAGAGTACCTTTGGATAATAATTGTAGCTAGCATTTATATAGCATGTTACGGTTTGGAAAGCACTTCACATATGTAATCTCTCTGACAACACACTCTATGAGGTGGGTGCTATTATCATTATTGTATAGATAAGAAACTGAGGCAGTCTAAGTGACTTGCCTAGGGTCAGCTAGCTAGTAAATGTCTAAGGCAGGATTCAAACTCGGATCTTCCTGATTCCCAAGTCCCACAATCTATTCACTGCATCACCCATCTGCTTAGGATAGAGAAAGGCAAAGACATTTCACGTAGCCAAAGCAGAATGGGCTTGGAGTAGGAATGATGATAGCAGACACAGATGACAGAGAATATTTAACTTGATTACAGAAGAAAACTAGTTTACTGGAAATAAACTTGGATGGACTGGTAGTTTAGACCTAGATTTTGGTAGACCTTAAAAACCGGGCAAGAGAAGTTGGGCTATATGCAGGAGGCAATAAGGAGCCAGTGTAAGCTTTGAAGAGGTAAATTACATGACAACAAAAATTGACATTTTTAGGAAAACTTGTCAGGCAAAACTTACAGTTTGGGAACAGTAAGGGGAGAAAATATAAGACATTTCCAAGAAAGATGACAGGACTTGGTAATCTATATAGAATCACTTTTGTAGGGAACTTTAAAAATGATCTAGTCCATGCAAATTTGTTGTAAGAGGTTTGTTTTTCTTTTCAAGTGGGGGTTGGGGTGGAGGTGGGAAGTATGGAAAAAATAGATGCTTGATAATTAAAAATTGTCTAGTCCAGTTTCCTAACCTGTTGGAAATAACTTGAGAGCACAGAGGCCCAATGATGTTAAGTGACATGTCTATGTAATTATCATATAATTAGATTGTGGAAGAGCCAGGACCAGAATTAAAGGTTAACAGTTCTAATCTGGGGGCAGCTAGGTGGCACAGTGGATAGAGCACCGGTCCTGAAGTCAGAAGTACCTGAGTTCAAATCCAGTCTCAGATCAAACACTTGACACTTACTAGCTGTGTGACCCTGAGCAAGTCACTTAACCCCAATTGCCTAAAAAAAACCCCAAAAACAAACAAACAAAAACAATTCTAATCCAATGCTCTTTTTATGAATGCTGTGCTACTTCCTATATGGGGCATAAAAAGGACTGAAGAATATAGCAGATTCCAAGGTTTCTAACTTGGGAGATTAGAACTGCCATTTATTCATTCACAAATTTTTATTGAGTACCTCCTAGATGCATAATATCACTGGAGTGCTAATAAAAATGGGGTGGTAGAAAGTGGAATTCAGAAGAGAGACAGAGAGACAGACAGAGACAGATCACAGAATACACAGAGAATCTTGGGGGAAAATACCCATAGGAGACAGCAAAGGAAATGGGACAATCAGAAGTGAGAGGAGAATGAGGACCAGTAAAGTGGAATTGCACAAAAGCAAGGAAATAGTTAAGAAAATGAAATGGAAATAAGAGTATGAGGGCTGAGAATAGCCATTTGGATCCTCAAACAAGGAGATAAATAGAAATGTTTGAAGGAATGGTTTTAGTAAAAGTAGAAAGGAGGTTTCATGACTCTTGGGATTTAGAAAACATTGCATTTGGGGCAATAACCAAAGGAAAAGGAAAGAGATTAGTTAGGGGAGAAGAAAGATTTTGAAATTTTTTGGTAGACCCATTCTTAATTTTTTTTCCAATCTAGATCGATCCTAATGTACAATACAGTTAGTTGGCATTAAATGTATAGGATTGAGAAGAGAATGCAAAATCATTAAGAACTATAGATTACACTAATATAGATTAAACAGATAACTATAAAATGACAGTTGAAAAAAGCAAAATGTCAATCACAGTTAATAGACATACTTCTAGTGCAGAATCTTTTTTTTGTTGTTGTTGTTTTGCTAGGCAGTGGAGTTAAGTGACTTGCCGAGGGTCACACAACTAGTAAGTGTTATATGTCTGATGCCGAATTTGAACTCAGGTCCTTCTGACTCCAGGGTCAGTGCTGTATCCACTGCGCCACCTAGCTGCCCCCAGAATATCTTGTTTAGAGGCCAGTGTAGTTTTAGATTTCTGAAACTGGCAGCACTATTCTAGCAGAACAATTTTTTTGTTTGTCCTTAGTTTTTTCTTTTCACATTAGTCATGTTGTAAGGAAGAATTAGAACCAACAGAAGAAACCACAAGAAAGAGGAAACAAAATGAAACAGAAGAAAAAAAAAGCAAATAGTATGCTTCAATCTGCATTCAAACTCCATAGCTTTTTCTTTGTATGTGGATAGCATTTTCCATCTTAAGACTTTTGGAGATGTCTTAGATCCGATGCTTGCATTGCTGAGAAGAGCTAAGTCTATCAAAGGTAGTCATCATACAATGTGGCTGTTACTATGTATAACGTTCTCCTGGTTCTTCTCACTTCATTCAGCATCAGTCCATACAAGTCTTTCCAGGTTTTTCTGAAGTCCTCCTGCTCATCATTTCTTATAGCACAATAGTATTCCATTACATTCATATACCACAACTTGTTCAGCCATTCCCCAATTGATGGGCATCCCCTCAAATCCCAATTCTTTGCCACCACAAAAAGAGCTGCTATAAATATTTTTGTACATGTGGGTCCTTTTCCCATTTTTATGATCTCTTTGAGATACAGCCCTAGAAGTGCTATTGTTGGGTCAAAGGGTATGCACATTTTTATAGTCCTTTGGGCATAGTTCCAAACTGCTCTCCAAAATGGTTGGATCATTTCACAATCCACCAACAATGCATTAGTGTGCCAATTTTCCCACATATTCTCCAACATTTATCATTTTCCTGTTTTATCATGTTGGCCAATCTGATAGGTATGATGTAGTACTTCAGAGTTGTTTTGATTTGCATTTCTCTAATAGTGATTTAGAGCATTTTTCATATGACTATAGATGGCTTTAATTTCTTCATCTGAGAACTGCCTGTTCATATCCTTTGACCATTTATCAATTGGGGAATGACTTGTATTCTTATAAATTTGACTTACTTCTCTATATATTTTAGAAATAAGGCCCTTATCAGAGAGACTGGTTGTAAAAATTCTTTCCCAATTTTCTGCTTCCCTCCTAATCTTGGTTGCGTTGCCTTTGTTTTTGCAAAAATTTTTTAAATTTAATGTAATCAAAATGATCCATTTTGTATTTCATAATGTTTTCTATCTCTTGTTTGGTCATAAATTCTTCTCTTCTCCATAAATCTGACAGGTAAACTATTCCTTGCTCTCCCAGTTTGCTTATAGTATCAGCCTTTATATCTAAATCATGAACCCATTTTGATTTTATTTTGGTATGTGGTATGAGATTTTGGTCTCTGCCTAGTTTCTGCCATACTCTTTTCCAGTTTTCCCAACAGTTTTTGTCAAATAGTGAGTTCTTATCCCAGAAGCTGGGGTCTTTGGGTTTATCAAATAATAGATTACTGTAGTCATTGACCACTGTGTCTTGCATATTTAACCTATTCCACTGATCCACCACTCTATTTCTTAGACAGTATCAAGCAGTTTTGATGATTGTTGCTTTATAATACAATTTAAGATCTGGAATGGCTAGGTCACCTTCCCCTGCATTTCTTTTCATTAGTTCCCTTGACATTCTGGACCTTTTGTTCTTCCAAATGAATCTTGTTATTATTTTTTCTAGCTCTATAAAATAATTTTTTGGTAGTTTGATTGGTATGTCACTGAATAAGTAAATTAGCTTAGGTAGAATTGTCATTTTTATTATATTAGCTCGGTCTACCCATGAGCAACTGATGTTTTTCCAATTATTTAGATCTGACTCTATTTGTGTGAAAAGTGTTTTGTAATTGTGTTCATATAGTTCCTGGGTTTGTTTCCACAGGTAGACTCCTAAATGTTTTATAATGTCTACAGTAATTTTAAATGAAATTTCTCTTTCTGTCTCTTGCTGTTGGGCTTTGTTGGTAATATATAGAAATGCTGTTGATTTATGTGGGTTTATATTATAGCCTAGCAGAACTATTTTTTATTTTATTCTTTCAACTCCTCCCTCCCATGCCCTCTGTCTGATTTTATTCCAAGGTTTATAAGCATGAAGGAAAAAAGAAGTCTTAAGTCCTCTTCACTTGTACAATGACATTAGATTTTATAGAATGGGGTTAAAATGAAGTCTTAGGAAAAATGGTGAATAATTTGAACATATTCCTTTAAAAGATGTCATTCTAGATCAGAATGTGACTCCTGAAGCACAATCTGATCATTACTAAAAGAATAATGCTGGTTTCTATGATTGAGATAATGTCCTGGGGTGAAAGCACTTACTTTACTCAAAGAAGGCACATTTACTTGTCAAGCCAATAAGGCCTTTAAAGAAGCTCAAAAAAGAAATGTCTAAGAGTGACATTGGGCAAGACTTATGGTCAGCCAGGGAGAGAATGCACTGGCCCAAATTCTCCATTCTTCACAGTACCTTTCCAGGTCACCATATCCCGAATTGATTCTCAACCCACAATCTTTGAGTAACTGTAACACTCCAAAAAAACTAATCCCTCTCCCACAAAGTTTTATTGGTGCCTTTTGTTCTTATATCACACTTATTTCTACCCAGTGAGCCTTTTCTTATAACAAAGATTAACAAAGAAAAGCAGTTCAGCAAAACCAACCAATAAATGGTCTACATCTGACATAAGCATCATTCCACATCCATAGTCTCATCTCTTATCTGAGGCCAAGACTAGTCATGTTAAATACACAGCATTCAGTTTTGCTTTTATTATTTTTTCCATTT